CTGGCATGTGTGAGAGCTTATTCAGCTACCTTTCCGGAGGCTGGGGTGGGCACCTGCACACACACACATGCACACGTGCACACATGCACACGCACGCACACACACCCATACTTTGACACCTTGGGACTCACAGTGGCACAATAACAACAGTGGCCTCCGTCTAAGGGCTCCCGGGCATCTCCCATCAGACAATTAGTTACCTCTCTGGGACCCAATCTGGACCTTCAGTCATCTTCTTGTTCCTAGCCCACCCATGGACTTTCAGACAAACAACTCAATTTGGAGAGGAAATTCACCGCCTTGCCTGTGTTTGTCCTAAGTTCCCCTGAGTCCACTGCTGTCAACGTCTCAGGGCTCCGGTTCTCTTTTGTCCAAAATATACTGTTAAGGTTCAGATTTCAGCCCCAGTCCCTCAGCACCCTGGTGCACTGCTGCCCTCTGCTGGTCGTTTCTAGGTAGTACTTAGAAATCCATATAAAAAAGCGACAGCCCTGGTGGCAAAATGAGTAAGGAAAAACAAGAAAATCACAAAAGAAATGCAATGGGATAATCAGCAAACGATCAATACGTGTAATTAAAGAAATGAACAATACAACATCAAGGAGGTACCATTCCCTCAATTGGATTGGTGATCATGGCAAAGAATGACAATGTTTAGGGCTGTCCAGGGTTGGAACACATGGCTTGTCACAACGGGACACTCACAGAAAGTGATCATCTCAGCAGGCCACAGTCTGTAACCCACTCAGGCTCTGGCACCCCGGCACCCCGTAGTGAAGCGATGGCTTACACCGCTGGGGGAGTGTAAGTGGGCAAGGACTTCCGGGGGAAGAGTTTGGTCTATTTACCGGTGGCCTTAAAAATTCTAACCACTCGGAATCTCCAGCATTGTACTCCCAGTTTTACCTACAGAAGTTGTCAGACAATTGAGTGAAGAAATTATAACCAGAACCACCAACCTTTATACTGTCACATTCTCAGGTCAGATGTCCCCATTCTTCTCCCAGAAGCCAACCACACAGACATTTCAAAATCGAGAATCAAGCCTGTGGTTCCTTTGAAGCTGACCCCTAAGACAACAGGTGGGCTGCCATTATTGCTTGAAACCCTTCCCCTTTGCTCCCCTTGACACTCACAGTATTTAGGGAGAGGGCCTTTCAAGAGGTAACGAAAGTCAAATGAAGTCATAAAGATGAAACCCTAATCCTACATGACTGGTGTCCTTATAAGAAGAGGAAGAGACACCAGGGATGTATATGAGGAGAAGAGGCCAAGTGAGGACACAGCAAGAAGGTGGCCAACTACAAGCCAAGGAGAGAAGCCTTTTAAAAGACACCAAATCTGACATCTTGATTCTGGACTTCTGGCCTCCAAAACTGTGAAGGAATAAATTTCTGCTGTTTAAGCCCCCTATTCGGTGGTATTTTGTCATGGCAGCCCTATAAAATAATAACCTTGGTGAATGGTGGGCACCACTTACTGACTATATGAGCAGTCCTGGGAGACGGCAAGCAGGGATGACTACTGACTATACAAACTGGCAGAGAGAACCCAAGATAGAGATTTGGGTGTTACTAACGGGAGTGGATCATAGAACCTATGGAGAATGTACAGAAGTAAAAGAAGGTACGATGGAACCCTAGCAAACACCTCCAACTGGACCGTAAAGCAAGAGATGCCCCTAAAGAAATCCAGAACGGGCAGAGAAACACAAGGACAATCTAGAGATCGGGGCCACGAACACTCGTGGGTTTCATCCTTAACCAAGGTCTATAGTTCTCATCCCTAATGGAGCTGATGTCGCTTTTTATAATAAACACTGCTAACACCACCTTTACTGACCTATGGTCAAGTACAGATAACCTACCTATCAGACATTAGGTTACAAAATCAATTTAATGCCCAGGTGATGTAAAGGAGATGTAAAATGAAATTTATATATAATAAAAAATATATTTCAATCTGTAAATCTCAAGTATAACTATCAGATTTAATGAAGTAGACAGGTGCTCATGGCCATACACAGAAAGACATAGGTGCAATCACAGACTGAGCAGAGTATGCGATATTTGGAAGTCAAATACGTAAGTAGTGTGACAGTCCTTCAGGTCCAGTAAAAATCAACTAATTACTGCATTAAAAAAAAAAGTTTGAAGTCTCAGACTGTTAGAATGACTCTAAGAACTGGAATATGGTTTGGTTTCAGGCAACCCAGTACATCAGAGATGAAGAAAACGACAAATATGTAAAATTATCACCAGCTGTTTATCATCTTAGCTTCTTTGTTCCCCACCCCATTTCCCATGACTCAGAAGTTTCATTGGAGTCTAGGGTCATGCCACCCTGAACAAGCCTGAACCCGTCTGATCTCAGAAGCTAAGTAGGGTCAGGCCTGGTTAGTACTTGGATGGGAGACCAGCTGCTGTAGGTGTGAAAAAAAAATAAATAAATAAGGGATTGTAAACTGACAAGGTCCTTGCAACTAAGGGTTGCCTCACCTAAAAAAGAAAAAAAAAGAAGTTTCATGGGAGACCCCTACTATCACTGGCAGTCACCTCAGACTGGAACAGGAGAACAGCCTGCACTGGGGGCTCTGACCCCTCCCTAATGTAACCCGGGTCAGAACCATAATGCCGCTCTCATCTGGACAGACTTCAAAGCAGACCAGAGGCCGTCAGGAAGCAGACAGCCCAGGATTTAGGGAGGCTGGAGCCAATCCACAGGCAGTACTACCGAGCCAATTATAATACTGCAGCGTCTCCTTCCTGACCTAAGATGTTCCCCATTGTTCAGGACATCTCTTCTGAACGCTGTATTTACATGTAAAGCACCTGTGCATATTTCAGACCTGAAACCAGTCGTCACAGCCCGCCGCCACATGGGAAATGGCAGAGCCCAGAGACCAGGTCTCCTGAGTCCTAACAGAGCAGAGAACATTCCAGCTGTTCCCACAATTCCTGGAGCCCCAACCCCATACTCTCAGCTAAGTGAGTTTGGGAAGCAAAGACTGGGGTGTGTTGGGTTTCAGTTAAAAGCAAGATGAGCCCTCAGAGGAACAAGCAAGTGGAGGGGTGCCAAGGGTCAGTTTGGGAAGCAGACTCTCTATCGGAATGTAACACAGAGAAGGCGGCAGAACACACAAGTCAGAGATCCAGGAACCTTCGTTTTGCCACCCACCTTCGGGGCACTCTGCATCCCTGAGTTTCCATTTTCTCATGTAAAGTGAGGGTGACTGCAATACTTACCCTTACCAACCTGAGGAGATGGTCTGGGTGGGAGGGATTCAATGACTTAATGCTCAGGAAGACACTTTGCAGAGCACTCTATGGATGTGTTATTATCGTCATTACTATTCTTAAGGAAGCAGCAGAGGTGTGGAGATGAACCTACAGCTCCTTAGGGCCATGGGGCAAACAGCAAACGATCACGTGTTTCATACCAGTCAAGCCGCAGGTCCCAGTCTACTCCTGGGGGGAAGGGTGAGGATGAAACACTGCTCGCTGAGAGCGCATGTACCTGTTTGGGTCCAGGAAGAAAAGCCAGGCCCCGCGTAACGACATTTTGGTCAACGACAGATGGCTTCCAGGGCAGTGATCTCTTAAGGTTATAATGGAGTGGGAAAATTCCCGTCGCCTAGAGACCCCGCGGTTGTCATAACATCTCAGCGTTTTCTGAAGAGTGACACCTCCTCAAGAAGAGCTGCAGGCAGGTCTTTCAGGAGGCATTCCAGAAGGAGGCACTGTTATCATAGGCGATGACAGCTCCATGCCTGTTACTGCCCCTGAGGACCTTCCAGTGGGATGAGATGTGGACAAGGAAAATGGTGACACTGATGACCCTCACCCTGTGTAGGCCTGGGCTAGTGTGTGCGTGTGTCTTTAACAAAAGAGTGAAAGAAAAATACACTGTAGAATAAAAATATAAGGAAAGAACATAAAGCATTTTGGTACAATACGTTTGTGTTTTAAGCTAAGTGATATTGAAGAATCAAAGTCTTAAAAAGTTAAGAAGTTCATAGTTAAAAAGTTACAGTAAGCTACGGTTGATTTATTATTGAAGAGAAGTATTTCCTGTAAGGTTAGTGTCACCTTGGTGCACGGCGCTTGACGCCTCCGGCAGGGCGCGGTCATGTCCCAGGCCTCCCATCCACTCACCCTCGCTCGCCGACTCACCCGGGGCAACTTCCGGCCCACGCGCCCCATTCACGGTAATGCCCCAGAGAGGTGGACCACTGTTCATCTTTTATCCTGTGTTTTTATTGTACCTTTTCTATGTTCAGTATGTTCAGTTACACCAACACTTACCATTGTGTTACACTGCCCGCAGTATTCGGAAGGGTAACATGCGGTATGGGTTTGCAGCCCAGGGCCACAGGCTGCGCCTCCAGCCTGGGCATGTAGCAGGCTGGAGCCTCTAGGTTTGTGTCATGTTCTATGATGTTCGCACAATGACAAACTCACCTGACAATGCATTTCTCAGAACATATCCCATCATTAAGCAACGCATGATTGTAGGTGGAAAAACCTATAACGCTGAGAGGTATTTTTAAGAAATGTTTCCAAATATTTCTCCAAAATGTGTTCCACTAGATAGCACCAAAAAGGATTTGGTGGTGACATCAGTGTGGGACGGGCTGCCTCTCCGGCCTTCTCTGAGACCGTAGTAATGAACTTCCAATGAGGATATGGGATGCAGGATGTGCCACATGGATTTAACAACAGAACCCCTTTCCCGCAGAGTGCCTGTCAAGGGCTTTCATAAAACATAGGGAGGGAATTCAATTCTCCAGGGAGGCATAATGTCATACGGACACACGGACCAGCTTAAAGGGGAAACGAGACTATGAACATTTGGTCGAAGGCTGGCAGGTGCTAGACATGCTGGTAGAGAGGTCCAAGTCCCACCAGGGCATCGAAACGGCTCTGCGTCGCCCTGGCCGCCCCACTCCCAGCCCCCCGCATCCACCTGCTGTGCAGCCCCGCACTCTGCAGCCACACACATGAAATCTACGCTTTTATTTTTTGTTCAAAAATGTGCTTTTCCCCCTCAGTGAACTATAATATCAGTCCAGACCTCCACCTCACCTTAAAAAAAAAAAAAAACACGCACCCATATGCACGCGCCACCCTCCAACCAGGTGAAAAATCCCCGGCGATTAGTCTATAACAAATATTGACACGAGGGGGAAAAAAGCATGTTGAAATGTATTAGAATCAGAACCTGTACAAAAAAAAAAAATTAAAATATAACCTGAAACTGCTCAAGTTCAGAAAGGCTAGTCAAGTCCATCGCTCTTGCCAGGAGAATGCCATCATCAGAGGGCTCTGGGTCACCAGTCAGGAAGGGGTGGGAAGAAGGACTCAGAAGCGGCGACAGGTCCTTCCCCAGACAGAGGGGCCTCGGTACCACCATCCCCACCCCAGACGCAGCCAGGAGGAATCAAAGGTCTTGGGGGAGCGGGTGTTGGCGGACAGCCCCAGTGGGCAGCGGGCCTTCGCCCCAAAGACCAGTGTGAGTAGGCACAGGCGGCAGAGAACACCGAGCTGGGAGAGACTTCTGCCCCGAGCAGACCCACAGCAGCCTCCGCTGGCGCTCAGACACCAGGAATTAGTCAACCCACTGCTCCCGACTAAGGAGAGATGGGAGCTGGGCTAAGAGGCTGAAAACCCGCAGGTTTAGTAAACATGGCCCAGCGTCGCATCCCTCCACGGCCTGACCGGAGCTGCCAACAGGGCGCAAGGTAAGAGAGGGAAGACAGAGCACTCTGATACCTGGCTAGAGGCCCATCGTGGGCCCCGTGGTGCACGGGCTGGGGACAGAACGCCCTCCTCACTCAGAGGGGCGCCTCCTTCGCAGCCACCCCTGTGGGCTGGTTAAAGCTGCCTCCGGCTTCCGGCCAGCCTGACAGTATGACAGGGAGCAAAAGAAAAACTGGGACGGAGACGAGCCCTTAAACAGAGACGAGAACCTCCCGGGGGAAACCAGCCGGGCAGTGTCTGACCCTGTCGGGATGGCATCGGTGGAGCCCCTGAGTCTGAAGGGAACACTGAGGAAGGAGGGCGTGGGCAAGGGAGAGGGGTGACCGGTTCTTCTGGAACAGTACCAACAAGGTGCGGAGGCGCTGCTGAGGGGCCGGGCAGGTCTGGAACTCACTGAAGGTAGAGAGGGGAGGAAACAGGCCCTCGGCGTCCCCTCCCCACCTGACCCAGGCCTGGTGAGTGCCAGCTGCCCCAGCCGGCCCTAGTGGCGGCTGGAGACCAGACCTTTCACTTTGGACATCTTCTTGGTGGGCTGCCTCTGCTCCGTGTGAGGGGGACACTCCCGTTCAGCCAACTGTTGTTCCATCTCCTGAGCCGAGGAGGACGCGGTGGCTTTGAGTGTCTTCTTGATGTTGGTAACCTGGGTGGAGACAATCAGCGTGCTCAGCCTGAGAGCACTAGAAACCCATCGAAACTCCAAAGTTGTTCTTATTATAATGGGTGCCACCCAGGAAAGCAGCCAGAATCCTTTGCATGAAAATCTAAAATTACCTCCAGAAACCCAGATAAGAAGAAACGAGCAGGGGCTGCCCATGGGAGACACGTGGAAAGGAGCTGAGCGACAAGGTGGGACTAACGCCTGCTTGGCTGAAAGGGGGGAAAAAGCCAAGTGGACGGGGACCACTTGGCAAAGAGGGACAACATCAAAGTGAAAGAAAGCAGCGGTTAAAATGGCCTTAGGAAGAGAAAGGGTGACCAAGAATTCTATACTAAACACTTGCTGCTGTTCGCGTATGAAACCAGGAGTTGCCACGAGAACTCTGGGAATACAGCTCCATGAGACCTTCCCGAACGAACAACTGGAAGGTGAACTTCGGCCGGCTAAGTGACGAATGATGAAGACGTAGTAAAAGAAATGGCAAAACACGATCGCTCTACTGTTCTCAGAATACCTTTCTGCACTTAACAAAGGAGGGGCTCGAACACATTTAAGCAACTCCTGAAGCCCGTCCCCCGTCAGAACACACATCCTCTGTGATAACTGTGCGCTATTCTGCTGTGAATACTCTACGACCTCTAAATTAGCTCCCGGCTTGTTTCTCACCATGTACAGCGCCCCTACGGCAGCCTCTGCATTTACCTTTGCAGACTTTTGTGGCATCCATGAAGGACACGTGCCTAGAAGTGAGCTCTCCGGAGCAAACGGTCGGCTCATTTTACAGTTTCATAACCACTGCTGCCTTGCCTTCAGAAAAGAGACTGCACCAGCTCCATGCCTGTTTACGTACATGCCCCAGCACCAGCTCTGTGCACCTGTGATGCCTCTGCCCTTCGGCCAGCTGAGAGGAGGAAGAGCAGTTGGAGGAAGCACTAGGTATTCTTTTAATCATTAGAAGGACGAAAGACAAGCCTGGTGCAGGTTAAGGTAGTATGTGTCTGCTGCTGAGAAAGCAAAGGGGCTTCCACGTGCTTGGGGAAGCGGGCTTGGTTTTCTAGAGAGTGAAAAGGCAGTTGTCAGGTCAAAGTTCTCGAGAGTCAGAGTCTCAGGAGCTTAAGAAACAGTCCAAACGCAGAGCTGAAGCAACACTGAGAGTCAGACAAAAATTACGTTCCTGCCTAGAGATGTATCATCGGCAGGATGGGCTTTGATGATGTCGTAGCTCATTTTTAATTTTGATTTTTGTTGTTTTGAGATGTAGAAACAGCCATGCCCCATACTGCTGTCTGCTGAATCAACTCTATAACCTTCCTAAAAGGAGCACAGGGGACTGTGGCCGGGACAGAGGGCAGCCTAAGTCAAAGCTGGGTTTACCCAGTGTTCTGCCAAACCAAGAAGCACCATCTCAGCACCCCAGGCTTCCCCTCCCAGGGGCGCTCTGCTGCCTACAGTAGAGTCACTTGGTGAGACAGTGAGTGAAAAATTTGGAGCAAGTGGATGGCTTGCCACTCTTTCTAAGAGATATTTTTGTTTGTTTTATGTCAAGTGTATTTTGATGGCCCTGGAGGAAAGATTGAGAAATGTGATTTCTCAGTTATCAATGCTTTATAAAATAAATGTTTATAAAAATACTCTTAAGACTTGTCAAGTTTGATATGCTAAGTATTCTGAGAAAAATTAATTAAATTCTTAATAAGAGGTCACATGATAAGTTAATTTCTTTGCATGTCAGTTACCTGTGATTTCCAATGTGTTAAAAGATACTGCAACTGAAAAATATACATTAAGACACTGGGGGGAAAAAACAAGATTCGTGCCCATATTTTCAGTACCTGGGATGCACTGCCTGAGAGAATTCGTTTTTAAGTTTCCCCAAAAGCTGACAAATTTTATCTAAATAAAATACTACAAAACTAACAAGTTTTCAATACAAGGCCTGTATTTCCAAAAATGCTATCTTTCTAAGCAAATAATTACCTTTCTCGTTTAGCAAAACAGCTTATTAAAAATAAACAAAAAAGTATGGCTTACTTCATCTTGGCTGATAAACACCATTTGACCCATTTTTTCAAGTTATTTATACAATAATTTTCACTAAACAATCAGCTTATACTACAAATAATTTTCTATACCAATTATTTACTATATTGAGGAATAGAGTAAAAAAACAAAACGGAGTCACTATAGTTAATCTGCTAAATCACTAAAATCAAGAAGGTCGAGGCCTGAGGAAACAGTTCTATTGTTAACTAGCCCGAGAACTTATTTTGAACTTCCCAGTCCTGTGTCAATGCCTGCATCCATGTCAGACCTCCAGTTAACCCCTGACTGCCCTCTGAAAGACTAAGGGAGAATGTTCACATATCCAGACCCCTTGACATCCACCTGGGTCCATCATCCAGACCACCTGACATCTGGCTGATAACTGTCCTGGACCAATTCTAGGGCTAGGAATGCAGGACTGATTCTTCTCAAGAATGCACTTTTTTACTCTAAGAATTTAGTTTTTCTTTCTTCTCTGGAACATTCTGGGTATTTCCTAGTTGTGCTTCCGGTTTGTAAGCCCTAAGACCCTTGAATAAATCTTTGTCATTTATTTCTAGCCAACACCTTCAGAATCTTTGAGTTCATCCAACAATATCTGAGATTTACTGACAACCAGGCTCATAATGCCTACGTGAATAAGGAAAAAGTATTTATTAATTCCCAAATAATGGGTCTACTTTTGATCGTCTGCACCTGTGTTTCCGTAGAATATGTCATTACAAGCCTAGCAGAAATTAACTGACGTTTCTCTTTTCATAGTGACCTCAGGTGACTTGGGCTAACTTTGGAGTCAGAGTATCTGTGGCTAAGCTGAGAAGCCAGGCCCTGACCTGCCAACCTGAGAGGTACGTGGCACACGCACCCCACTTACCAAGCCAATCTCCCCTCTCAGCCTCTCAACAGCCAACCTGCAATAGCTGAGCAGGTCTAAACCTGTTTCGGCCTCGTGAAACAATTTGGAGAAGTCTAATTCCTCTTTTGCAGAATCGCCCTTCAAATGATGACAAATACTACCCCCGGCCCCCAGGCTTGTCATCTTTGGCCTAAATGTCCCTGGTCCCTTCTAATTTTCTTCCTGAGTGGCCTGGCTTGCATCCCATCCCCGTCCCATCCCATTACCCCAGATGACCTGGAGTTTGTCAAGCCCTTCAAAACATGGGCTTCAGGAATTTTCAGGTTCACCTGCTGGCAAAACTGTAGCCTCGCTCTGTCAGAGACCTTAAATATTCAGGTAAAAGGAGCGAGAAGAGCCTCTGGGGTCGGAAAACTTCTCTCAGCTGTAGGGCAAAGTGAAGGCAGACAACAGGAAGTAGAGCCCACAGCTGGAAAAGTCCTACAAAGAAACGAAGAGCTGGCGACAGAGAGGACAACTGTCCAGGAGGCACACTTCTGGTGCAGTCTAACTTAACTCTGGGGGGTTTTCCGCATAAGAGAAAACAGAGCTTACTTTGTCCAATCAGGCTTTATGACCTACACGA